CTACACCCTTGATGAGCCCCCGCTGAATCCGTGATAAACGTTGTACGTGAACTTAGACCTATCAGGACCCTCCCTAAACCTGATGCAAACCCTCTAAACCCCAAACCTAAACCCTAAACCTCATGCAAACCCCGCATACAAAGTTACCGAAAGCGGCAGAAGCCAAAGTCGCCGACCAGGCCGGGCGAACTCCGACGGCCCCTATCGATTAGCTTTGAAAGGCCGTGGCCGGGAAGCCAGGGCCTCGGTGTTTTCTGTTGTTTGTTTGGACATTTCTCACATTCTAGTGGCTCTATAGTGATTTCAGGACTTTTGTATCGATTCTGAGAGGGGTCTTTGAGGGTGTGCATGCTTTTGCGTGAGGCCCGTGGGCTTCGAAACTGAGAAACGTTTTGGGGTCAACGGTTTCCGCGTGCAGGGCGGGGATGGAATGTGTAAGTATGGAGCGCGTTGCAGAGACCCCAAAGCTTTAAAGTAAACAACATGCCTGCAACCTTCATAATAATCCTTCCAAACTCATGCAGATCCCTACGAGACCTATCAAACCTGGGGTTGATTCAGTGCGTTGTCCTTCTTAGCCCTGCCTGGCAGACACTTTGTTTCCAAGGATCCACAGTTGATGCTTCTTCCATGGCTGCAGGATCCTGAAACCGGAATCGCTACCCATAGGCTCCTTAGTAGTTCCTTTTTGGGATTACCTTACAAGATTCTAAATATAAACCACAAAAAGGAACTACTTAGGAGCCTATGGGTAAGCCCTTTGGCGGCTGTTGGCAACCGCGGGCAGCAGCTCCAGTAGACCTTCTGGCATGGGGCATTCTATATGGGTAGTTCTCTAAATAAGGGTCCCATTTTGGGTCCCCAATACAGTACGGCACCCTTATAAAAAAGGACCCCCAGAAGTGATGCTATTTTAGAGAACTACCCATATGGCTCCCTCTGTAACATAGGCGCCTGAATAGTTATGATTGTGAATTATATTTTATAAGAAGGAGCACTGAGGAGCAATATTGAATAATCTAGTTACTAGGTGATTATTCAGGCTTCTACACAGGCATTTTACATATACGATTACTTATTCAAAGGGGGGCTCGGTGGCGCAAGCCTGTGAACCCGAAAACCTTGAACTCGGAACTGCCAGCCCTGAACATGACACCTGAAAATGTATACCCATGGGCTCCTAAGTAGTGCCTTTTTGTGGTTTATATTTAGAATCCTATAAGGTAATCCCAAGAAGGAACTACTAAGGAGCCTATGGGTAATCGCTGAGTCTATTCGCCGTCGTCGTCCATATGCTTCACTGTGTTCTCGTGTGTGGACATCGGAAGATTAGCTTTCCATAATATATGTTATTGTGTATCACGTCGCATGCATAGTCCTGATTGAGTGTTGCTCTACTTGGGTATATGCATAATTTAATACACCGTGTTATTGAATCGTGGCATCTTGTTGTCACAGTTGCCGCTCCATCCTTCAGGCCCATTGCTCTGAAGAAGACATGCCTTACCCAATCGGAGGAGGTTTACGTTTCCGTCAGTTATGACGACCAGGCCTCTCTCCGAACACACCGCTGGCCAGGTGTGGGGCGTGCAGTGCGTATGGCAGGGACGGGCCCAAAAATGCTGGCATCTAGTGCGGCGTTTTCGCAGCGTGCATTTAGCGAGCCAGTTCGTTCGAGGTCCCCGATCTGCCTGTTGCCTTTGGGGCCAACGTGTGCGGAGAGATTACTCCGGGCATATGACAGCAGAGCTTATGGGCTAAGGCGTCTGCTGGGGGCAATCCGCCGTATTAGGCCGAGCCGTTTCACTCACGGCGGTGCGCACTGCTTGTAGGGGAGGCCCATTAAAAACGGCGGATCTCACTTCCCGGCTACATCGTGGCGATTTCCCGGCTCTACTCGCTCTGACTTGGAAGTGCCATGACTTTGCGGTTTGCTGTCTTCCTTCACGGCCTTTCTTCTGACTGGAGGCCACATGTTCTGGCAATCTACCTCCGTCCAAACCAGACCCGGTACCGTTTTCGGGTTACCTTACCATCTTAATTACTGTCATCTTAAAGTCTTATAACCATAGAACAGATTATCCAACAAAACGCGATGCACTAGTGTCTAAGAATATCTGCATGAAGGCGCTGTTGAATTCGCTGTGAGATGCTTGCCTTCGTGCCAGCGAAGCGCAGCATGAGGAATGGTGTGGAATGTAGAAGCCTAGCATGTGCAATACATACTGCCTGCTCATGTCTGCCGCAGATGAACCTGTGTTGCCTTGACAGCATGCCATGATATTGAGTTCATGGTGGTTGTAACTGATAGAGCCTCTTGCTGCGAGTGTGCACAGCTCAATCAGCTAAAGTGGTTACTAGGCAGCTCTGGTATCAGCAGGCTTGCAAGCAGTTGTGTTGCAATTCCGATTGGAGTGCGCCGGCTTTAGGCTGCGCCCAAGCGTCCGCCCTACCCAACCATGAGCTTCAGCGTGTATTCTTTGGCACAGCTGTAAGTGTACATGGTCGCACAGTTGGCCGTGTGTGGGGCATGCAGTGCATTGTGGCACCGGGGCAGCCATGTCAGCTGTTGATTCGAAACAGGACATCAGCGGCTGCCTGCCTAGGTGTCTGTTGCCTTTGGGGCCAACGTGCCAGGGAGATTACTCGGGCATATGACAGCAAAGCGAATGGGCTAACGCGTTTGCTGGGGGCAATCCACCGTCCGAGGCTGAGCCGTTTCACCGACAGTGGCATGCACTGCAAGAGAAGGGAAGGCCTATTTGGTTCTGTCAGCTGCGCGAGTGTATGGGGGTTGTTCTGAACATGGCCCCTGCTGCCGCATTACAAATGTCCATTTCTCAAGAGCTTCCTTTTAGCAACCTCCTCGAGACTGCGACATGTCTTGGACATGAAATGCTGGGCTTTGGGTTTAGGGATCGGGGTGTACTGCTTAATTAGGGTTGCGGGGGACGTTTCGCCACTGCTTCCGGAAGCACCAGGTGTTTTGGAAGTGACTGTTCAGTCAATTCCGAAGATCTGCTGGCAGCAGCCCTCAACCCTAAACCCTATAAACCCTAAACCCTAAACCTTGTCACACATCATGCGGCACGCAGTTCTGCTGCTTGCGAGACCAAGGATGCCAATTGGAAGGCCTTGCGTGCTCATTTCGTCTGCCTAGGATTTCATCAAGGGGGGGTGGATCAGCGTGAATGGTCTTAACAAGAGACGGAAAGCATGTTGGGTTCTTCGGTGGAAGCTGTAAGGCCATAATAAGCATTCTATGAGTCACGATGCAGACGTTCAGGTGCACCTCCTGCGCAGCTTTCACATCAGCTCTTCTTGATGCGTTCCCTCCCGATTTCATGCCCAAGTGATCGGTAGTCTGCAAGACCTCGTTCCCCCACTTCCCTTCGACCAGCACCTTCACCTACTGTAAACCCCAAAACCTATGACCTATAGCAGTTGCAGCACAAGCAGTTACAGCCACGGTGTAACTCTCGGGTTCCTATCTAGTCTGGAAAGAATTGACATCTTCACTGTTGCACCCGGAGCCTTTCTCGAATACTGCAGCACGCCACTTGTGTTTTGCATGTCCTTCGAAGAACTACAATCGTATAGTTATTGCTTAGTATCCCAACCTTTCCATTACAGCCTCCATCGATGTCTGTATGCAAATGCGTGGTGAAGATGGCGAGCAGCATTCGGTAATCAGAGATCGTTCGAAGCCGAATCAAGGGAAGCTCGAAGCAGGTCGTGGCCACCTTCTTCGGCCTGCTTCCCGAGGTGCAGTTGAGAGTTTACTTTCTTTCGTAGCTCTTTTGGCCTGAGCAAGTCCATGGCTTTGAGGCTTCAAGCGGGTTTCACGGGATTCCTTGCTTTCTTACGTACAAGCATTGACAAGGATTAATTCCAGGGATGTTCTCACGGTTTCGGGTCTCCAAAAATATTGACAAGCGTGACAGAATAGCATTGGTACGGCCGCTACTCCTCCCTGGCGCCATCATACGTTCGCCTCTGTCCAAAGCTGCATCCGATTGTTGACTGAGTGCAAATGCAGGGATGAGTCACCGTAGTCGGCTGCACCGGACACACCCAGACATGGTATGAAGTGCCGAGCATGTGTTGGGAGGTTTCAACCGTACTCAACGTTCAGCATTTGAATCGGGATCTGTTTTAAGCTTCTGGGCTGTGTATTTCGAGTGCAGCGCATGCCACGGTAGCCGGCCGCCTTGTTTAAGCTTCTTGACGAGGTCCGGGTGTTCACAAAGATTCACAACAGAGCATACCGAATCCCTTCTGATCCTTGCGGCACGTCTCGGGCTCTGTCACGTAGATGGCTGTTCCGCAGGTGTGGCAGCATACTTCCTGCGGACACTGCCTTCATGAAGTGGATGCAAGACGTCTGAGCTCAGCACAGCCCTAAACCCCTAAACGCTAAACCCTGAACCCTAAACCCTAAGCCCTAAACCTCCTTCTTTCAGCTCTCCTGTTGCAGGCATCCATCCGTGTCACCTACTTCGGAGTGCTGCGCTTGAGGCCGCCTCGGAGTTGCTTGCGCGGTCTTTGCCCCTGGGTCCCGCCAGGTTTCTCCTGTCCAGTTGCTGAGATCATTTAGGATTTAGGGTTTAGGGTTTATAGGGTTTAGGGTTTGGGTTTATAGGGTTTAGGGTTTAGGGCCGATCTGAGGGATGTATGGCTCCGCCGGTGCCCTCGCTGCGTCAGGTGGCGCGACAGCATCCTGCATCTCGCCTTACAAAGTTGACGTTCAAATCTTCAGTCCGATTCAGTCCTGTGATGAGGGCTTAAACCTGAGCCGCGAGCAAGAGGTTCAAAATTGTGGCCCCCAAAGAGGAGAGTGGAATACCTCATTGACGGGGCTTGGCTGCCCACATCTTCCCGCAAGGATTGTTACTGTTAGACTAGCACCCTTAAAACATGCGCCGAAGCCTCAACCAGCAATCAATTGGGCACGTTGATGTTTGACGAGAACAGAGCATCGTAAGCACTTCCATGCAAGCATGTTGACTGCATATTCAGTATCTCGCATGCGCCTACATTTGATGCGGAAACACGGCCATGTCGTTTTGCAGTGATCTCAGGTATCTGATCACGGCGGCTTCCCCATTTCAGCAGAACAGGCCGTCCAAGGTGGAGGCTGGAGTGTTCTGAGATCGAGCCACGTGTCCCGCTCTGGCGCGAGAGTGTCCGCAATGCATGCTTCTCAAGGATTTTCGCCGTGCAGCCAGCCAGCCTAGTGCCCTTTCTGGTGCCATGGCTTCGAAGCTTTCTCTGGTGCTTGCAGCACTTCTCGCTTCTTATTTGATCGGGTCTCTCGCAGAGCCTGTCGGCAGTTTGCGAGGAGCTGACAGAGCAGTGGACAGCGGGGTGGAGGTACCAGACGTCAGTGGGCTGCCGGACACACCGGGGCCATACCAAGAGGAGCCCAACAACACGGATGCTGACAAACCCAAGGCAGCAATCGTTGACTGGAGAGCTCAGGTGCCCAATGCCACCCAGGGCAGTTTGGGAAGTCTGCTGTCGTTGAGTGCTTGGCAGGAGCACCAGTTCTGCAATCTTCACAAGACGGGCTTCTTCTGCGAGAATTCCACGCGGATTCGCTGCTGCAAGTTGGAGGGCGGCTACGCCAAATGCGGCTCCACTGCTAACTCCAGTGCCTGCAGTGAGAAGTTGCCCGAGGAGCCGAAGTCACTCAAAACCAAGATGCTAAAGACGGG